TTTGGAAAGCAAAGCTTCAAAGAATTTCTAAGAAACATCTTTGTGCAACAGGTCATTAATTATCTTTCTGACCCTTACAGCATATGCATTAACTGGAGGAGCTGTGAAACTCAAGCTAAAAGGAGATGAGACAAATTTGAAGTGATAGCACTGAAACAAACCCAGGGCCTTCCAGGTATTTTCTTGGCCTTCAGTAAAAGCTGGCTGAATTTCATCTCTTTGCTCAGAGGCAGCCTAGAACTGGGGGTTAACTTACACCCCACTCAGCACCTCAAAAAGGTGCTGGGGTGGAGTAGGAAACTGTTATCAATTACTGCTGAAATATTCATTAACACTTTCTAGTTTGGCAGAGTGTGATTCCCTGCTCTCTGGCTGTCTCCAGGCTGTAGTTAGTGTTGCTGTCTCCATGTCTACAACAAATTCCAAGGCACGTCTGTCTACAGGTAGGCTTCTTTTTGCAGTGAATTATTAACAAAACCCAATTTTTATGAAATTCCTTAGCTATTAATTTATACACCTCTGAAGATGTTTATCTTTTACACTACATGACTCCTGAGCAAGCATGGCCATATACTAAAGAACAGCCAAGCAACTCTGCTGTCACCCACTCACGATCCCATGGAAGCAGGGGTATTACTTTGAGGTTACAGTGACATAAAGAGGCTGAGGTTACCCAAGTGGCTGCTCCTGCTGTGCACAGATCCTGATTCCCTCAGGCTGTGATACTGAGGTGTGGCATGTGGAGACTTACCTCTTTGCAATAGGAAATGTTTCAAATTTATAATCCCTAAGCATATCATTAGGAGGCTAATCCTGATAAACTCTTATTTTACAGTTGCTTACTCCATTTGGGCTGTTGTTTTTTGTTTTACCAGCCTGTAGCTGGCACCAAAACCTATTAAGTCTCGATAAAAAATGAAGTCATTGGGTTCATGAGATACTCCGGCGTCCACAAGCACATGGATGTAAGACTTTGGCTGATTTAAGAATCAAGAAGTGTTGGCTTCTGGTGTTTGCATTTTTGAAAATTTCTTGCAATTTTTAAAGGTGGACATAAAGTAGTGCCTCAAACGATCCTCTCAGACTATTCAGCTAGCAATACAGCTCCCTGATACACTGTGTTTAGAATTAAATAACTTTGTCTGAATAGCTAAATTTTGTATTACTTATGAAGTCATATTTTCAGGTAATGGATCTAAAGTACTGTCATTAGTTCAGGAGCATTATATCCATTTTCTATTTGTGTAACTTGTTTCCCTTTTGTAGTAGCTTTGCATTTGTGTAAGCAGTTCTGCAGGGTGATACAGAATGAAGTGCTAAGGGAAATTCTCGGTGCTTGCAAGAAAGAATTGGCTGCAAGCTTACACCAGCACATCTGAGAGCAGACAGCTCTCCACATTATGCAACTACTTCTCTCAAGTCACTCTCCTTTTAGGAAAGACAAAATACAGGGGGCTAAAGTTGGTGGTATAGCCTGCTTGCCACAATAGAAAACCTAAAACAGCACTTATATTCTCCTGCTTTATTTTCTTCATCATCTGTCTAGCACTCTGTGGGGATCCCCAAACTCTAATGTTAAATGCCAGCAGAAAGATTCAGCTTTTATTTGCAGAAGCCTTTTTATGCATTTGTAACTTCACTGATTTCAGTTATTTCTCCAAATTAGTTCTGGTGCAGAGGAGAGCAGAATTTCACCTACTACTATTTAAGTGAGGCATAATAATTACTTCTTTAGCAAATCCATTATCTTGAATAATTGTAGAAATGGGCACTAAAATAAAAAACTCTCAAAATGTCATGGAAGATCTCCATTTACCACATAGCTTTCTGTTAAGTCGGCATGGAATTGCAAAATATAGTAAAGCATTAGTAGGTGTCATGCAGTCCTAATTCTGAATGCAGCACTTGAATCATCACAAACAAGTAACTGAAAATATAAGAAAATCCTTCCCACCTACCCTACAGTATAAGCCAAGCAAACAAATAAAAACACTAAATACTCCTGATAGTCTTGCTGGTAAAAACAGAGGCAGGAATCAGAAGTTTCACTTAGATGATAAACATGAGAAAAATGTGGACAGATAATTCACTCAGCTAAGTGGTAATAGCAGCGTGTTGAAGAAAAAGTAAGGCGAAAGCAAGAATTTCAGCATGTATTCGTGGGATCCATGTTGCCATGGCAACTTCTCAATGGAATAAAGTATTTTCTCCTTTCTTTAGGGATTAGAGAAAAGAGAGATTCTGTTCTGAAAATAGGCACTTTACCTTTTTTTTTTCCAATAAATCTATAACTATTTCCTAACATAGCAGGCATTGTTTTCTTATGCTTTGGAAAGAGACTTAAAATTCTTAAAACGACACCATTTTATGGATGTGTTATTCAAAAGATTTCTCTTGCCCTCTTTTTATTTTGAATACTTAATAAAAGTCTAAATTCCTTCACATTTCTGGATCATCCTCCTTTTTTTTTTTTTCTTCCTCTTGCTGTTTAGCTACAGAGCTTGGATAATCAGTGTATTCTGCAGCAGATCTATGGCTGTTTTCCGGTTCAAGCTAAGGTTATTTTTATTCCCTTTTGATTTTCTGGAGTGAGATTCTGATCTCTTACTTTGTGCTACTTGAAGGAACTGCATTGACTAAGTCATTCCATCATAAATTTGGATTCAAAGCTAATAAAGCAATATCAGTTTGCGTTGTATCTTCACCCCAAACTCACTGACTGAAAACGCAGATCTGTTCAATCTCTTTCATTCCTTCTCTAGATAAGGCAGCAGAGATATACATAGATAGAAGATGTTAAAGGGGAATAATACACTTTGAATGTAAAGTTATTGTAGCCCTGTTTTGGAAATTTTGATAGAAGTGTAGCATTTCCTGAAGTGGCTGAAAAATATAAGTGATAAGCACCCATTTTCACAAATTACTTGGCAAACCTCAGCAAAGGACTTAGGTGCTCGTAGATATACATGTTGACACTGAATGTGTTTTAAACATAGCACAATTTTTATTGCTGCACCTATTAAAGTTATACAGAAATATCTGTTAAAGCAACTTTTTTCAAAAAATATTGTCTTTATTTTCAGAATATATTTGTGGGAACTGACCTTAAATTAGAAGTTATAAACCTGAATGTTTCTTAAATATATTCATTATTTCTCATAAATTTTCTGGGTACTTATTACCAGGATGGAAAAATTCTAAGAATCTGGATATGATTAATAATACCTTTGAAAAAATGAGCTAAACATAACTATCTGACCCCTCCAGGTCTTTTAGAAAATTCTGCTAGCAACTTGCTCATTCCTTTATACTACCTGCCTCCTACTACCTTGGTTATCTCATCCAGTACACTGTATTGATAGCTCCACTTGACACATGTAGCCAGTGCAATTCTAATTTCATTTAATCCACTTTAACACTTGTACCATTTTCACATAAATCTTTATTCAGCTCAGTGCAGAACAGCATCAGATCCACTTCATTCTGGTAACACAGTCTAATTAAGTTAGGAGAGTTCATCCAGATTCATACTGCTAAAAATGACCAGAATCTTGGAAAATGGGGTGAAAATACATGCTTGTAGCTATGTCTACTTTATGGCTGTGTCTACACTGGTAAATTGAATGTGGCCAGGAACTTCCCTGGGCAGTGAGGCCAAATGGCATAAAATAATCCATGTCTATGCCAGTAAAAGCATCTTAACCTCCCAAACAGGGTGGCTGTATGCAAACATTCTCCTGGAAATGGTCCCTCAGAAGTACCTGTTTAGTGGGAGAACTAGTCTGGGGGGAGAACTAGTCAATACATACAAAACATGTGTCAGAGAATGTCCTAAAATAGATCTGTTACAGTATATAGGAATGTTTAAATTTATAGATATATACACAGCCTATATTGTTCAGAGGACACAAATCAAGACTAAATACACTATCACCAGCCCAGTTAGTTGCTGTTTTGTAATGCCAGAATATCAGAGAGCTGCTGGAACTTGTATCTCTTTCACTTTCCATTAAATCACTAAAACTGCCCAACCTTCATTTGGGCTGTTGCTACAGAAATAAATAGAACAAAGATAGATTTACACCAACATAATCATAGGCTTCAGCGCCAGAAGGGACTGTTGCTATTGTCATGATGGAGTGTGTCTATGGAAGCCAATAGACCTTTGTACCGTATTTTAGGTGATGTGGCAGTAATGAGCAGGAGACCAAAAAAAAAAAGTCTAGAAGCTCTCAGTGTTAGAACAGCACAGTACAGTTCAACTATATGAGAACATATCACCTTTGTAATTATGTAAATTTAGCTTGGTTTAATTGGCAGTGCTTTTAAGTGGCAGGAATAGCTACTGAGTTGACTACTTAGTTCCTTTGAGCAACAGAGATTACTTCTTATATATCTTTTGAACTACTGATGTGAATTACACAGCTGGTTCTTCTGCAGTGTAATGATTTATTTTGTTTGTTTGTTTGTTTTTTAATTTGAAAGCAGACAAGCTTAATTGGATAGTTCTTAATTCTTGGATGGAAGACGGCACTGGGAGAAGGTAGAGCCTCTGAAAATTCTTTGCTTCTATTTCCATCATCCAGTCATCAACTGTTTTTCAATGGTTGTATGCTAGCAATTTGTGTACATAAATCCTACTTTTTCTCACCTGACTGCTTCAGCAAACCCAAGCCTGTTTAGCCTGCTAAAGGCCATGTCTGGAAACAAAGGCGTAACTTTCCTCATTCCGCCTTAACTTTAGGTTCTTAATTAAGCAGCCTAAATTCTACAGTTAGAGAAGAGACAAAGAGACAAATGAACAGCTCTAAATGAAGATTAAGTCCACATAAAATCTAATTTACTCTCTGGTAGTGCTTACTTTCTCTCCAGGAATGTCTAAGGGAATGCAGCCTGCCTAAGCTCCCAGCTTGAGCATCTCACTTAAATGCCTAGAGTCAGGTAGTATAATTCTGGCACCACCAGGCTTCCCCTTCCCCTTCCCCTTGGCCTGTCCTTACCTGCCACGAGGAGAAAAATGATGCTGGGCTGAGTAAATTAGGGTTGGTGGGATGTCTGTCACCCATGTATTCATCAGTGCAGACCACACAGTCCTCTGCATCTCGCCAGTCCCAGTAGGGGATGGTGAAGTTCTCATCACCTGTTATCTTCTGGATCTCACGTTCCCACATCAGCAGAAAGACACGATGCCAAGGCAGAAAACCAGGGGCTTCGTGGGCAAAATCAATGTCCCGCCATACATTGGACCCACCTAAGAGTGTGTCTCGAGAAGCATAATAATGCATCCACACAAAGAGGTCATACACGTTGATGTTTCTGAACATGGGGTTGGAGCCATTGTTCATCTGAGTATATGTGCCAGTAGCAATAACATAGTCCTGGCTAGGGGTGTTCTTTGCCAAGTTAAGGTAGGCAAGAAACTTGTCCTTCTCACTGGTGGTGAGCTGGAAGATGTTTCTTCTTGTTCTCAGTTGCCTTTCAGTGCAGTTGAGTCCTGAGAAGCCAAACTTGCACTCCCCACAGTTGAATCCCATGAAGTTGCCTTCGCATTTACATGTCCGGTTGTAAAATACAGAGGGCCAGTCCTCTCTGTCATCCACTCCTGAGAAAGGGAACTGTGGTCCCAGTGGAGCCTGAGAGAGAAGGATGTTCTGGCAGGACCCTCTGCTGGAAAGCTCCCCACAAGGGGACTCATCTCCATCCCAGGGGGGACAACACTCCTTCCTCAGCAAGCTCTGAATGTTTGCACAGGCTCTGGGGAACTGCCCGCTGGACGGCTGAAGGATGACTAGCAGAAAACCCATGGCAAACAACGACATCCTCACAGAGCAGCAGGAGAGCATCAGTGTTACGCTTCAGTGCATGGAGTGCTCTCTCTGACCCCTCCAAAGTCCTGGATGTGAAAGAACTTCCTCCCCTCCACCAGGAATGCTTCACTGCTGACTTCTGCTACAGTGCACCCTTCAATGTCCTTCCCCATTCCTACCCTGGTTGCATTTACACACAAAATACACTTCATGGTTAATCTGATTATCACATGTTCTGGATGAAAGCCAAGTGACTTTTTCCCCACCCCCTACAGGTTTCAAAATACAGGCATTTATTATAAACTTTCATCTTCTGTCTAACACATGACTGCTTTCCTCTGGCAATTGGAGAGGAAGTAAAATTAGAATTTGGACACAGAAACAGTTGTCAGCTCTTCAAATTCCTTGTTCGATTATATGCTTTGGAGTAAATGGTTGTTTAAAGAAAGACCCAGAAGAATCCAATTAGTTAAATAAGCACAGTGAACTTAAAAATGAGAAAATAAACAATTTTGGGGTAAGCTATATATTTTTTTAAGAGGGAGCAAACATAAAATATGGTCAGATTAAGTGTGAACATAGGGCAGAACCAGAATAAATGGTTTGGCTTGGCATTTTTATATTGTAGTGTAAGTTGTCTTTCTTGGGCCAGCATACAGCAAAGTAACTTCACAAGGGAAGCGATAAACGCTTCAGAAAAAAAAAAAAAATGTTTTCCCCCAGAATCCATAGCACTTTAACAGTCACTGACACACTGAAATCTGCACCCAAACCTTCTCTGAAGTTTTATGGGGAACACAGGCAGTCTGCCAATAGATTTGCAGAAAACACTTTAAGCAGTTGTCTCCAGACCTGGAAAACTAATCTTGACTCCTGTTTTTCTCCCATCAGGCAGTTTGCAAACACCACATCTGCCACTCTGCTCTGGTGAGACCTCACCTGAAGCACTGCATCCAGCTCTGGAGCCCTCAGCACAAGAAGGACATGGACCTGTTGGAGCGGGTCCAGAGGAGGGCCACCAAAATGATCTGAGGGCTGGAGCACCTCTCCTATGAGGCCAGGCTGAGAGAGTTGGGGTTGTTCAGCCTGGAGAAGAGAAGGCTGCGGGGAGACATTATTGCGGCCTTTCAGTACTTAAAGGGGGTCTATAGAAAGGATGGGGGCAATCTTTTTAGCAAGGCCTGTTGTGAAAAGGCAAAGAATAATGGTTTTAAACTGAAGAAGAGTAGATATAGACTGGATATAAGGAAGAAATTTTTTATGATGAGGGTGGTGAAGCACTGGCACAGGTTGCCCAGAGAGGTGGTAGAGGCCCCATCCCTGGCAACATTCCAGGTCAGGTTGGATGGGTCTGTGAGCACCCTGATCTGGTTAAAGCTGTCCTTGCTCCCTGCAGGGTGGTTGGGCTAGATGACCTCTGAAGGTCCCTTCCAACCCGAAGCATTCTATGATTCTATGATTCTATATCTATGTTCTTTACTCAATATATTACTGGTCAGCCTCTAAACCACCCACCTCTTTCTTCTTATACATTAGCCTGATCAGAGCTAGCTGAGCTGTATGGGTGGCATTAGAAGTTGTACATTCTTTGAATTTGCCCCTTGAAGCAAAGGGACGGCAGTTGTTTTACTGCTGGGCAAATTCCACATGAATTATCCAGAGTTTTCTTCAGCTACCACTGTTACTAGTAAGAGTGGTTTTGTTGGGTTTATTTTTTTACTAAAAGAATAGTAAATTATTTCCTTATGCTTAGGGAGAATCCCAGCAAGGCAGGAACAACATTTGGGCAAATGAAGTGAGGACTTTGCTGGGAAACGATGCCTTTCACTGGGATCAGCAGGTCATCACATGACCGTGCTGAGGAGCACGAGGTACTTTAATCCTGTTGGTTTCTACGCCTCAGGTATTCCAAGAGATTATCCCTGAGTCCTGGTGCCAGGGAGCCTGTGATGGGGGAGCTTGGAGCAAGAAAGGCAAAGGAAAAGGAGCTGCTTTTTCAAAAAATATTTCTAACCACAGGCTAATGTTTACTATTGTTTGACTGATTCCCCTGGTTTCCATGCTAGGTTTGTAAAATAAATTTCATCACGGAAATGTTACTTGTTGATTTATTTTATTTTCTCTGTGCCTGGCTGTTTGGGAAACCTTTGCAATTTATTTCATTTACTGTTCCTTCCATGGAGGCTAGTGCAAAACTGCTATATGTGAGAAGAGACTCATCTCTGAGGATAACAATAAATATATTTTAATTTTCACAGAAAAACTACAGGGATTGGGAAAGGCTTGAAGTAGAGCCTCAGAGTGAACCACAAAAGCCCTCAAATATATATTTAGGGAGACGGTCATACACACAAATACATTAAATATCCTATTTTTATATTCAAATGAGATTTTATGTTCAATGTTAAAAAATAAGAATCAGAGCCTTGACAGCTGTCATATGACAAATTTGTGAAGCAGCTGGTTAACAGAGAAATCCCCTGTAAAACGGTATGAATGCGAAACTCTGAACAAAGAATGTGACTGAGGAGCAGCACACGCCCTTCTTGGCCTGCTATTGAGTAGAGTCCCATTTTGAGTAACTGTCAGTGATTCAGATAGTAGTTGAGAAATCAAACTTTCCATATATCAACTGCCATAATCATTAAACAAGTTTGAAAATATGTGTTCCTATTCCCATGAATAACTGTAGAGTCACCAAAACACAAGACAGTTGCAGCTTACATGCTGCATCTGGGCAAGTTGGTGTTCATTAATAAGGACTCATGGGACTTACCATCTCGCTTGTGCTTCAATCCAGTACTCTTTATTTCATTGTTCATTTAACAAAGCCATCATATCTGCATGAAGTTTGTGCATAAGTTGATTTTAGTCTTTTTGACTGAGAACACTTTCCCTTGCATTCTGCCAGTGGGTTGGCATCACCTTGCTGTATGCTCTGAGAGACCCATTTCTCACACATGGGTCCCTGCATTTGAGTATGGGTCAAGATTTATTCTTTTAAGGTACACAAATGCTAGGTGGACCATAAGATCAGCATGGCTAAGGCACACCACTTTCTGTATCCAAGAACATGAAAGACAGGGGGTTTGTGGCCATATCCAACTTTACTTGATTCCAAAACATAAATGACCTGGAATCTTCAACAACAAACTAGCATGGTCCTCTGCTTCATGTTCCCAAGTCTTAAGTCCACCCTAAAGTTTGCAACTGGATCGGTTAAAATGTTGGTTTCAGTCCAGTAGAGTAGCACAGTAAGGACAGTATTTAAAATCTATCTTGTGTTTTCACTACAAGGTACTTAAGTGCTTTGTAGAGATGTTAATAGTTAGGAAATAGTTATGCAAGGAAAACCCCCAGACAAAGAGAGTGATAAGTCTTCCTGAAGTTTGTGTGCTGGCTTGCTTCCGTCATTAGGATCACATTTTCAGCACTATGCTGCAATACTAACCCAAACTCCATATAGCCACAGCCTGTGGCTTTCTGATGTGGTTATGGACAAACAAAATAATCCAAATTAAAAAAAATGGCATTGAATAGGGGTTCATATTACCTTATAAAAATAACTCTTTGTTTCCTCAGATCTGACTCAACTCATCTTCAAAAGATCATTTCTTCCTTTTGGAAGATGTCACAGGGAATTTCAATTCTAGGCTGCTGATACTGAAGCAATCAAAGTTGCAAGTAATATTAGTGGGTTTTAAAAAATTCTGATAGCTAGATAACATTGTGTTGTGGTTTAGCCCCAGCCAGCAACTAAGCAC